GGGGCTGCTACTCAGAGTGTGAGAAGCGGAGGCTTGAGGCGCAGGAGAGGGGGCGCCGCGCCGCCTGCCCGCCCCTGCCCAGAGCCGGTGAGTGCGCGGGACCAGCTGGGGGCCCTTTCCTCCCTAGGGTGGGCTCCTCGGCGTGGGGCCGGTGGAAGCAGACGTGGCCCCCAGTGGGGAGAAGGGGCTGTTCACGGAAACCCAAGGCCAGTTGGACTCTGATAGCAGCAGCCTGGGTTGGGGACGGGGTGGCACCAGGCAGGTGACAGACCCCTTCCCAGCCCAAGGCCTGCCTCTCTGCCACTTGGCACCTAAGAGGAACTGGGCTGCATCGGCCCAACCTCCAGGGGCCAGGCCAGTCGCTTGGTTGGAGCCAGGGAACACCCAAGCTGGGAAGGGACTCAGCAACCTCCAGTCCAACCCCTTCACTTCATAGCTGGGGAAACTGAGGCGGGCTTGGGGGGAAGTGCCTTGCCCCAGGTTGTGACACATCTGGAATAAAGGGAGAAAAGGGTCACTGCACTCCCCGCCCTCTACTCTGTCTCCTCTAGGGCAGGGTTTCTCAACCGCGGCACAACCGATATTTTGAACGGGGTAATTCTTCACTGTGCATTGCAGGGTATTTAACAGCATCCCTGGCCTCTACCCACTAGAAGCCAATAGTACCCCCGGTTGTGACAACCAAACATGTCTCCAGACACTGCCAAATGTTCCCAGGGTGTGTGTGTGGGGTGGGCCGCCTTCTGTTGAGGACCCATGCTGTAGATCAGTGATTCAACTTTAGCATGTGTTAGAATCACCTGGGGAGCTTGTTAAACCGAGTTTCTGATTCAAGGGCTCTGGAGCAGGGCTGGAGAATTAGCATGTCTAACAAGTTCCCAGGTGACGCTGCTACTGCTAATGTGGGGGCCACGCTTGGAGAACCCTTGTTCTAGACTGCACTGTAAACTCTAAGAAGGCTGGTCCATCTGTTTTCCTCCCCAAGGTATCCCAGCAAGCACCAAGCCCAGCTCTGGCAGATGCAGGGAGCCCACCAACAGCTGTTGAATGAACACTTGGGCCCGAGGTGGGAGGAACCCTGGCTCTACAGGATCAAGAAGAAAGGCAAAGAAAAAACGCCGTTTCCAAGGTAACAGGTGAGTAGACAACCACAGAGCCTCTCTCTGCCTGCAGACTGGTGAGTTGGTCCCATGTGGAAGGCTTGATACCAAACTGCCCTCTTGGTTATGATCCTCTGGGGAAGGGTGGCCTCTTGGACTCTGCATCCATTGTGTCTTCAGATATATACCCAGAAGTGGAATCGCTGGGTCATAAGGCAGTTCCATTTTTAATTTTTTGAGGAGCCTCCATACTGTTTTCCATAGTGGCTGCACCAGTCTGCGTCCCCACCAGCAGTGCACAAGGGTTCCCTTTCCTCCACACCCTCGCCAGCACTTGTTGTTTGTGGATTTATTGGTGATAGCCGTTCTGACAGGTGTGAGGTGATATCCCATTGTGGTTTTAATTTGCAGTTCTCTGATGGTTAGTGATATTGAGCATCTTTTCATATGTCTACTGACATCCTTGAAAAGAATGTATATTCTGCTGCTTTGGGGCGAAGTGCTCTGAAAATATCAATTTAATCCATTTGGTGTAGTGTGTCATTTAAAGCCACTGCTTTCTTGATGATTTTCTGTCTAGAAGATCTATCTATTGATGTCAGTGGGGTGTTAAAGTCTCCTACTGTGACTGTATTACCGCCGATCTCTCTCTTTAGCCCTAAATCCCCATCATGCCTTGTTTATAAAAGATGGCCCATAAATCACGGAACTAATACTGTAATAGCCAAGCCCGTCACAACAAGGAGAGTGTGCTGAGGTTTAGGGAAATCAAATGACTGCTCAAGGTCAGCAGGACTTGTTGGCTAGCCTGGGCCTGAGGGTCTTCCCCCTGCCCTCACGGCCTCCAGCAGCCCACAGCAAGAAGTTGAGCAGCGCTGCTGTGCCTTCCAAACCACCTTCCCTCCCTCCAGCTAGAAAGCCACCTTCTATTTCTTCTGTCTCCACATTGCCCCGAGCGCAGTGCTCTGCAAACACAGGTGCTCAATGTCAGTGAAACAACACACTTGAAGCCGGGAGGCTGGTGGACCGCAGTCCTGTCCCTGGAAGTCTCAAGTAAGACATTTACCTTTAAGGTGGCGGGGAGTATGTGGAGGATGCCCTCAAAACTGGAATCTAGGTAACAGTCCTAGAGAGAGGCTAGGGTAAATCAAATGGTCATGGGATCCCAGCCGGGCGAGGCTCAGCGGTTGAGCATCGGCCTAGGATCCAGGAGATCGGGGTTCGATTCCTGGTCAGGGCACATGCCCGGGTTGCGGGCCCGATCCCCAGTTGGGGACGTGCAGGAGGCAGCCGATCAGTGACTCTCAGCATTGATGTTTCTGTCTCTCTGTCCCTCTCCTTTCCTCTCTGAAATCAATAAAGGTATATTTTTTAAAAACCCCAAAAAACAAAAAAAAAACGTAATGGAAGTCTTTCATACAACCACTCTGGAAAACTGTTTGGCAGCATCTACCAAAACTGGACATATACAAACTCTGTGACTTAGCAACTCACTCCTAGGTCTAGACACAACCAAAGGGTGTCAGTGTGTTTACCCAAAGTCACAAACGAGAGTGTTCATTGCAGCACTAGTCACAGGAGCCAAAAACTAGAAACAACCCAAATGGCCATTCACCACAGATTTCGACATGTCCACACAATGGAATTACCATAGAACAAGAATGAATGATCTACAGCCAGACACGATGACTTGGATGATCCCACAGACAGTGCGGAGCCAAGGAGCACATACCACAGGATTCCATTAAATACAGGACAAAGACAAGCGAAGCGAAGCTATGTTGAGAGACATCAGAATGGTGTTTTCCTTTGGTGGTAGGGGCTGGCACCCAAGCACTCATGTATTTTAAGGTTTCCCAGTGATTACAATATGCACACAGATCTGTGTGCAACCTACAAAAGAGACATCTCAGGAACGAGGCTTGGGCAGGTGCACTGACAAAGTTCAGGGGTGCACTGAGCAGTCACCACAGGGGTGCTCCCTTATGAGCCTGGGGTGGCCATGGTCAACAGGCCTCCCCACTGTCTATATGCTGCTCCTCAACTGTGGCAACCCACCTGGGTTCTGATCCTTTATTCAATGAGACCTACTGATTCAGAAGTCAGACCTAACCATTGGGTCCTCTGGGGACCTGTTATCTATATCTGTTTCCACCGTACATCAAGTATTATGCAAATACCTTGTGAATTTGGGGAAACATGGTCGGCCCGCCTGGGTGTTACCTTTTGAGAAGCCATCCTGGCTTACCTGTAGAATCCCACTTCCATGGGACTGCCCCCTCCCCAAACAGCAAGTCTGACTACCTTTGACTTTAAGAACTGGACCACCTTGGAGCTGACAAAAAGGGAGCTTCTAGCTCGCTTCCTTGTTCAAGTAGTTCAAAGCCCAGCTCTACCATTTACGAATTGAGTGGCTTTGGGCAAATCACCAAATCGCTGAGCATCTATGACCTTGTTTGTGAAGATTGCCTGGTTCAAAGCAGGTGCTACACCAAATCCCTTATTGCTGTGTGGGATCTCTGTGCTGGAAGAGACCCCAGAGGGACTCTGCCTGTTAGATTATGTAGCCCATGTCCCTGAACCCCACCACAGTCTGTGTGCATTAGCAGGCTGGAAGTAAGAAGGTGCATGGCGTGGACACCTGTGGTCTGCTATCCTTCCTGTGTGTCCCCCTCAAGGACTGACGTGGGAGGGTGAAGGACAGCACAGGCCATGTACATCTTTGGCTATCAGCCTTTTGCCAGACATGTCCCTGGGGGTTGGCTCAGCTCTTCTTTCCTATCTGCCCAGAGAAATTATATTCTCAGCATTAGGGGGCAGGATTCTGTTTGCTAAGCCTCCAGGTTTCTAAGGAGAACTATATTTATCTCTTCCCGTGTGATCAGCTCCTGCTGGTGTAGAAAATATTCTAATCACTTCAAAATATCACCTCTTAGAAGACACTATGAAAAATTCAGAAGTAATACAATACAAAATGAGAGTGCCTGCTTTGTTATGCTAGCACCTGAAATTAGAGCTTAATTGATCCATCCCAGAAGTTCCTGAAATACATTTTATCCAATTAGATTGTTTTGTTTTGTAGTGCACTTTTCAGACTAGTGACTAAATATTTTGCTGAGGGGGTGGGTGGTGGGGAAGGGAAGCCTTTCTGAATGAAAAGCATTTTTGTCTTAGAGCCACAACACCCTTTCTACAAAAATGATCAGCTTACCTAGTAAGGAAAATGTAGTTTTTGTTGTAAAGCAGCCTAGTGTTTTGTTTTTTTTAAATATAACACACTTAACTCGACCACAGTGGTCATTTAGTTATCAGAGGTGAGCTTAGCGGGAAACCTGATGAGCAATAGACTACAATAAAATGCGATTATATACAGTTTAATTCCCCCAATTCTATAGTGAGGTCAAGTTCTGGGCATGCATTTATGAAACCTGGAAAAAAAAATTGGGAATGAGTTCAAGTTGAATAGTTGAGCAATGTGATGACCGTGACCCTTAAAAGACCGACTAAATGTAAACTGTTGGGCAGTGACAAATGCTGCAAGTGGAGCAATTTATTAGTTTACTTTTGTCTTTCTGGGTCTGACTTACAAAGGAAAAATTTAAATATAGGAGGCCGAATAAAATCGGTGCTTTGTTTTCTGGAACCGATAAAAGGCACATAATTTTCATAATTGAGCATAATATTTCTGTTATGCTTGGAGCAAAAATACGAGTTTTAAAACACACGATTCGTTTTAAGATCGACAGTTAAAAGCTCAAGTGAACTCTCTGTCTAAAATTTGAATTTGGCCTGTAAAGTATCAAGGAGTCATTTGTTTTTTGAAGTAAATAAAGGATTTGGATCTGTGCCTTAGCAAAGTAAGTATAAATTTGGTTTTGGGCCAGCGGGTTGGTCGTTCAGCAAATACTGCGTGTGACTGTGATTTGGGTTCCTTGCAGACACAGGAGTAAGACAGAGCCCTCTACCTGCAGCAGTTCAACTCTACTAGGGTGAGTAGACGAACAAATAATACCCTTCTCGCGATCGATACAATATGTGTACGACCATGTGCCACGTAACGATGTTTCAGTCAACGACAGACCTCGTGAAGGACAGTGATCCCATAAGATTATAATGGAGCTGAAAAATTCCTGTCCCCTCGTGTCCTCATAGCACAATGCATGACTCACACGTTAGTGGTGGTCACAGTATAAACAATCTTACTGCTCTGGCCCATAGTAGTATGGTACATAATGGTAATAAATGACCATGTTACTAGCTTCTGTATTTACTATACTCTACTTTTTATTTTCTTAGAGTGTACTCTACTTATTTAAAAAAGTCTTGCTGTAAAACAGAGTGCTGTTACACCAGCAGCAGCCTCACACATCTCGTCCCGCCTCGTTTACTGCATCTCCTGACTGCATCATGTTTGTGTGCTTTATTTGATCTTGTATTGTTTTGTACAGCCACATGCGTGTAGCCTCGTAGAAATACTATTTAGGTTTGTGTAAGTGTGCTCTGTGATGTTTGCACGATGAAGAAATCGCCTGATAATGTGTCTCAGAATGTGTCTGTCGTTAAGGGGCGCAGGACTGTACACGGATGGAACAGAAGCAGGAGCAGTTATATTGGCCACAGAGGTTTCACGGAGGAGGGGGTCACTGAGCGGGGTTTTTAAGAATGAATAGGAGTTGACCAGGCAGAAAATAATGGTGACATGGGGACAAATCCAGGGAGAAAAGAGAGCATGTGCAAAGGCATGGGAGAAGGGAAGCGAGTGCATGGTGTAGGTGAAAAACTGCAAGAACCTACATCCAGGTGCAGTGTAAGAGTTGACAGTTATGAACTTTGTGGAGTGCAGCTGTTTCATCTATTTCTGTATTAGCTGAAAGGAGCCCCTACCTTATCTCTTTTATAAATTATTACTTCATCATGATGGACCTGACCCAGGAGTTTTAATTTAGAAACTGTGTTTGCAATTCAAGTAATATGTAAATTGCATGCTAAGAGGGGTAAGTAAACGAACAAAGTATACTTGGGGAATTTGAGCATTGCACGGTTCAGTGGGGAAAAGATGCCCTGGACAGCAGATTATGCAAAACTCAACAGTCTACCCCAGCTGCCCTCACTGAGCTGACCGCTCCAGCAAACACGCCATCGGCCTGAGATAGCGTGGCAGACTTCCAGCTATGTTTTCCCTTTCCTTCTTAGCAATGGAATTTTTTAGTTGGAGAAGCCCAGCTTAAACACTACATTTCTTGGCCTTCCTTGCAGCTCAGTATGACAAAGCGGTTAGGTGATGACAAAAAGCTGTAAGTGTATTTGAGGCAGAGCCCAGACATGATCTTTGTGTGGATTAGGAAAAGCAGCCATTCCTCAAAGTACTGTCCGAAAATTAACCTAATATTCTGCTTTTGTTACAAGACACCTCCCTGCCATCTGCTAGAAAGTAGTTGTAAATAAAAATATAAATCCATGATGTTGATGATGTGAATGGTGATAATGGAGAAAATAAAATGGAATAAGCATTGCTAAGAGAGTCACAGTGGAGTCAGGAGGTCCCTGAGGAAATGGGGCCTATGCATGTCTCATGTCTCAGCTCATGGAACTATTGTTAAGTTGCTGACCTATTGCCAAATTCAGCTCAAGTCTGAACAGCTAACATCCTGGATCCATGATTGCTACACGGACATATAAGGACTCTACCTTCTGCTTATCATGGTCACCAGACCATCTGCATTCATCTTGAGAGCAACCAGTCCATTTTGACAGCCAGCATCCTCTATTTACAGAAAGGACTTAACCAATCCCAGCGGAGCCAGCCACCATCCTTCATTCGCATGGAGCACCGAAATGAGAGCAGCTCTTACGTTTTTGTTTTTTATGAACCCTTTCTTTGTTTCTTTTGGAGCACAGTTTAGGTTGTTACATGAATCTGTGCCCTGAATTGCAGTTCCTCCTTTGCTCAAATAAACACTTTCTATTCTTTATTATAACCTACATTAAAAATATATATATATATCTTTATTGATTTCAGAGAGAGGAAGGGGGAGAGAGAGAGAGATAGAAACATCAATGATCGGCTGCCTCCTGCACGCCCCTTGCTGGGGATCGAGCCCGAAACCCTGGCATGTGCCCTGACCAGGAATTGAACCCCGATCTCCTGGATCCTAGGTCAATGCTCAACTTCTGAGCCACATCAGCTGGACTTTTTTTTTTTTTTTTAAA